ATGAGGCAATAGCTAGACCACTACTCTCAGCGTTCATACAAAGCCTCGAATGGATAGATGTCACGAACTTCTACAATTACCAACTAATGCAAATGCGCTCATACTGCACGAAAGCGTACCCGTGGAGACTTCACAAGAGTCATCTCTTATAGTGGAAGACTCATATTGTATCAATGCAAGACTTATCGTATTCGTAGTGCGAATGCGACTATAATACCACTACGATATGATACAATGAGAATACAAATCTCATATTCTGATCTTATCATGTAAACGCTCCTCCGACACAGGTCTGATATACAAATTGTACATCAATTGTATAATACAATCTGTATCGAGCAGATACAACAACGTAACGTTGTTGATGTACGACATATTTACGTTGTTCATTCCTTGTAAACAACGTTGTTGTTCAACTGTATACAGCAACCATGTATGAACAGAGTGTGAGATATATACAGCAATATCAACATCGAAGTTTGACTGTTGAAGATGGTCACGCCTTCTAATAGGAGGCTCCTTCGGGGTTGATAGTAACGCGGAATCCTGCTTAGGTGGGATCGCCCAGTTGAGCTAATGACGGGCCAAGAGATCTCAGTCGGTGACTCAACAATGAGCGTGAGCCATCGCTACTCATTTCTTCCCTACCGTACCATACTCTCTGCTATTCATCGTATCCGTTTAGATCACTGGGGGTCCTGCTCATGATCTGCTGAGCGAGTGGTTGGCTCTTTATGGCCTCACTCATATTAGAGAAAATATCTTCGATTTGCACCCGGTAAGATTCCGGTGTAGAACTCGGAAGTCCCCTCAGTGGACTCCAGTGTGGGGAGAGTAAACACGTGAAGAACTACATGTGTTGGTGACAATATGAAAACTCCGAGGAAATCTTGGGGAATTCTTGTTGGCTTCTATCCACTTCTACCAGAAGTTATGTGCATACTCATATAATGATGAAGAAACTCCTGAGCTCAGTTGAGGGAAGCGAACATGAATTCCTCCACCACTGTGGACCCCACCGTTGAATCCACCAGAAAAACCTAACGTTACATAATATACCCCTTCGGTTAAATGCGATACGCGCACGAGAAATTTTTCACGAGTGAACGATTGGATGCCGTCTCATCGAGTTCTCGAGAACGGCACATCCGGTCCAGTCAACTCGGCAATAACAATGAAGGATTAACGGAACATATTACTCAAACGATTCGATGCTACTGATG